GTGAGGCTGCCAGGGAGTGATGAAGCCCCCTCGTGTTCCTGGGGGATTGGAGAGGGGTTTTGTGGGTTTTGGGAGGGGTTTTGGTGTTTTTGGGAGGGATTTGGGTGGTTTTGGGAGGGGTTTTGGGGGGATTTTGTTGTTGTTTTTAGGAGGGGTTTTGTTGTTTTTAGGAGGGGTTTTGGTGGTTTTGGGAGGGGTTTGGGTGTTTTTGGGGGTGGTTTGGGAGGGATTTTGTTGTTTTTGGGAGGGATTTTGTTGTTTTTAGGAGGGGTTTTGATGTTTTTAGGAGAGGTTTTGGTGGGTTTTGGTGTTTTTGAGAGGGGTTTTGGGTTTTTTTTGGGTTTTTTTTGGTGGGGTCTTTAAGGAACCCCCCTCCCCTCCCCATCCCCACCCGGCCGCATTTTGGAGCCATTTCAGGGAATTTTTCGGGGGGTCTCACACGAGACCTCCTGTAGGGACGGGGACCCTTTCCCCCCCTCCCATTTTGGACCCCCCAAACCCCCCCTGAGACGCCCCCACGCCCCCTCCCCAGACGGCGTTCCCGCTGATCGACAGCATCGACCCCCACGGCTTCGTGTCCTACCGGCTCTTCCGCGACGCCACGCGCTACATGGACGGCCACCACGTCAAGGTCCGGGCTCCCCCCGAGCCCCCCGAGACCCCCGAGACCCCCCCGAGGGTCCGGATCCCACCTTTGGGGTCTCCCCCGCAGGACATTTCGTGCCTGAACCGGGACCCGGCGCGGGTGGTGGTGGTGGATTGGCGCCGGGACTCGTTCCGGCTGCAGCCGTACAATGGGCTGGCCCTGCCGCGCTGGGACGGCGCCTCCGACGACAGGGCCCTCTACGACCTGGCTGCCTTCCTCAAGAGTGGGTGAAACGTGCCTAAACCTGCCCAAATCCACCCAAAATCCATCCAAACCCGGCCAAAATCTGCCCAAACCCGGCCAAAATCCATCAAAATCCACCCAAAATCCATCAAAATCCACCCAAAATCCATCCAAATCCATCCAAATCCAGCCAAACCCAGCCCTGAGTACAGGGCGCTCTACGACCTGGCTGCCTTCCTCAAGAGTGGGTGTGAATCCCCTAAACCTGCCCAAACCCACCCAAAATCCATCAAAATCCATCCAAACCCGGCCAAAATCTGCCCCAAATCCAGCCAAACCCAGCCCTGAGTACAGGGCCCTCTACGACCTGGCTGCCTTCCTCAAGAGTGGGTGAAACGTGCCTAAACCTGCCCAAACCCGGCCCAAATCCATCCAAACCCACCCAAAATCCATCAAAATCCACCCAAAATCCATCCAAATCCATCAAACCCGGCCCTGAGTACAGGGCCCTCTACGACCTGGCTGCCTTCCTCAAGAGTGGGTGTGAATCCCCTAAACCTGCCCAAACCCGGCCAAAATCTGCCCCAAATCCATCCAAACCCAGCCAAAACCTGCCCAAACCCGGCCAAAATCCATCCAAATCCACCCAAAATCCATCAAAACCCACCCAAAATCCATCAAAATCCACCCAAAATCCATCCAAATCCAGCCAAACCCAGCCCTGAGTACAGGGCGCTCTACGACCTGGCTGCCTTCCTCAAGAGTGGGTGAAACGTGCCTAAACCTGCCCAAACCCACCCAAAATGTGCCCCAAATCCATCAAAATCCATCCAAACCCACCCAAAATCCATCCAAACCCGGCCAAAATC